CTCCTCTGAGACTGTAAGATTCCTGAGAATAGGGGCCAGGTCTTAGCACCACTATACCCCGGAGCCCAGCCAAGTGCTGTAACATACTTGCTCAATTAACAGTGAATGACAGCCTGGTCTCACGGCCGCCTGCAGATGATGCCAGAGAGGACCAGAGCTCAGAAGACCAGGTAAGAGGCTTGTGTCATAAGCAGTGAACTGATACGGTCTGGAACAACGGAGCGTGGAGAAATTCATCTCTGCCACCCTCATTCTCCCTCGGCCCTTTGAGCCTCGACTCTGACACTTGGGATGGCATCAGACTAATTTGTGTGTATGTGACCTCTCCACCAACTCGCTGTGACCCCTTAAAGGGCAGGGCATGCCTTGTTTATCGAGTCATAGGACACAGCTGGCCCAGAGCAAGCTCTCAGTAGGCCAGGGTCCTTAGCGAGGGAAAGTGTCAGCGAAAAGGCTCTAGTTGGTGACAGAAGTGATCTCTGACCCCCTTGGCATCCCCCTGAGCCTGGAGACTCCTCACCTGGCATTCCCTGGCCTCGGGCAGCCCAGAGCAGAGGCAGTCTTCGCATTCTCCTGAGGATCCTTCCCCTGGGCCTTGTCTCTCCAGGCCATTCGTCTTGATTAGGTATTGGCAGTCTTGGCTGATTTAATGGCCCACCATGCTTCCTGTTTGTTTCTCAGCAAGGAGGTGTCAGGGTTTTTCATTCTCCAGGCTCTGACCTTGCCAGCGGTGTGATGGGTCTTCGCACACCTGCTTCAGCGCTGCAGTTGTCTGTGTGCAGAGAGGTGGATTCGGGAAAACCTCCACATTCTCAGGCCGAAAGAGGGGACTTTCTCCAGCTGGGGGGGGTGGGGGACAGCTGTCCCATCTCTGCTCTGAAGAAAGCAATCACCCTCACGGCCATCTCTTCCTGGAAGCCTTGACCACCGCTCACCACCACTGCCTGGAAGCCTTCCTGGTTAGCTCCATCCGGCGCCCCATCTCTATCTTCAATGCACTGTGTGTGTCAGTGTTTATTCTACAGTGGACGTGCGTCAGCCTCCTCTCGCTGAACCCAGAGAGGGAATCTTCGGTCTCCCAAACACACATCACTATCACCTCCTGGTGCCGTGGGGAGGGGTTTCAGTCTCCCCCAGGTGGCCAGCCTGTTCTCGGGAGGCAGAGTCACCCACATTGCTGATGTGGACACTCTGACTCAGCGGCCCGTGAGGACTGCGAGAAGCAGAGAAAACAAGGACAGGCAGACGGGGGAACCAGGAGTATAAATGTAACCTGAGCTAGATCTTCCCGTGTCATCATGGGTGAGCAAGCAGCCACTCTCTGTCGTTCAGGGATGGGCAGACTTTGACCGGAAACGAGCCCAGCCAGCCAGCCAGCCAGAGCAGGTTAGACAAGTGGGCTTGAGCCCTGTGGAGCTGGCCTCCTAGGGAGCTGGAGGGCAGAGGGCCTGGGGGCCTCACCTTGAAGACTAGGGGGCAGCAAACCAGTGCCAAGGCTGAGGGGCAGCACCCAGCAAGGCCCATGGCACCTCTTCTCCCGCCCGCGGCTCATCTCCCCTGCCAGCTCGCAGGCGTGAATCAAGTCACACAGAGGTTTGCCTCTCAGGACAAACTAGCATCATACAGGGCCCCAAACCAACTTCCCTTCACCCCAGAAACCTGAATGAGAGCATGCGCTCAGACCCTCACTGCCCCTCTCACACCCTCCCCGGAGCTCCTGCATTCTTCTTTTTTTTTTAAATCCTCACCCGAGGACATTTTTCCATCCTTTGTTCAGGTAGAGTGGGAGGGAGAGAGAGGAACAGAGAGAGAGAGAGAGAAACATCGACGTGAAAGGAACACATCGAGTGGCTGCCACCCGCACAACCAACCAGGGCCGGGGACAAACTGCAACCGAGGTACGTGCCCTTAGCGGGAACCGAACCCGGGTCTCTCCGGACAGCAGGCCAACGCTCTAACCGCTGAGCCAAACCGGCCAGGGCGCTCCTGCATTCTTAAGGTGGGTCAGGGGCACTGAAGGGGTCTGTGCCTTCCAAGTAGAGCCCCCCCTAGCCCCTCAGGAACCTGTCCACAGGCTTCCGGAAGAGCCCCGACTCGGCCCTCGGCCCCTCTTCAGGCAGGGGCCCGACTTGCTTTACACCACCGCTTGGCGTCCTGGCTTAGTCACTCACGGTGGGAGGGTGTCCCGATTTGAAGAAGGGCAAATCACAAATGTCAGCTGACTGAGACCCAAGTGCCAGGTTCTCGCTGGAGGCACCACTTTCACACCAGCCTGCACAGTCTGGAGCCCGTAATGAAAGAGGCTGACAGTCCATTAGCAGCAGAGTGGCCCACGGGGCTCGGAGGAAAGGAGCTGTCATCCACGTCACTTCAAAGGCTTGTGAGGGTGAAATCGACTGCGTGTGCGTGCGTGCACAGGCGTGCATGCAGGTGTGCATGTGTGTATAATCTAAAAGAAAAAGGAATAGCAATCACATCCGTGCCCGTTAAAATGAGCCTACAGACAACGGTCTAACATCATGAAGAGGAAATGTCAACATGTGTCTTGTACTCTGTCCTCCCAACCCCTGGGGGCAGGTCTGAGACAGTCTCTTAACAACAAAACAACCATATTGCAGGATCGAAGACCCTGAAGGTCTTCTCGTACAGCCCTTCTCTGATGTCCAACTCTTCGCTTCAGTGTTCCTGACAAGGAATCATCCTTCCACTTGAATGCCTCCAGTCACAGGAAACTCACGCCCACTGGGATGTGTCAAACATCTCACTTGCGACTCCTCTATTGGCTAGAAAGTTCTTTCTGACCAAAGAGCTTAAACTTGGGGCCAAATAAGTCACATGCAACAACAACAAAAAGCCCAGTCTCTTTTCCCCCAAGACAGCCCTCTGGTGAGTCCTTTCCACGCGGACGTGGTTTTCAGCATCCTTACCAGTCTGCCTAGTGCTTTCTGGACAAGATCTAGTTTGTTAATAACATTCTCAAAACGTGGTTCCCGTACCGAGACCTAAAATCTCTGCTGCGGCTGTTTCCGGTGTGAAAACACACACGTGTGCCGTAGAAATAAAGTTCCTCTAACTGGGTTTTCATTCATTCCACACTTCCCATCATACTGTCAAACACCCTGCCGAAATCCAAGTGTACTGTACCCATGGCATGCTCTTCATCAACCACCATATCTGCTCCAAGAAAAGAGAAACTAAAAAAGAAGGTGCTGGGAATGGACCCGGATCCCCACCTGCGTCCGACAGCATGACCCCAGTCAGGACCTGCGCCTTCATTGTTCTGGACATTAATCTATTCATTCCACCTCAGATCACATAGTCAGAGCTCATTGACTCAAACTGAGCTTTGGGCCAGGTCACAGGCTCAGATTTTTGCTTGTTTTAATGCAGGAGTAACAGAAGAGTCAGTAGGAAAATAAATTATGTATTTGCATCTTCTTCCCCACCTCACTCAGGAGGCCAGTATTGGCTTCCAAAGGTGCCCTGGGTGGGACTTTGTGCTAAGGTCCTGTAAAGGGTGGAGGAAGAGCCCTGGCCGGTTTGGCTCAGCGGTTAGAGTATCGGCCCTCAGACCAAAGAATTATGGGTTCGATTCCGGCCAAGAGCATGTACCTCGGTTTCGGTTCATCCCGGCCTTGGTAGTTGTGTGGGAGGTAACCAGTCGATGTGTCTCTCTCATGTCTTCCATGTTTCTCTCTCTCCCCCTCCCTTTCACTCTATCTGAAGATAAATAGAAAAATGTCCTCGGGTGAGGATTAAAAAATAAAGGGTGGGGGAGGAGAGAAACACTTTGAGTATGGAGATGGATAAGGTAGATCATGGAGGGAATGGGTGCTTCCCCAAGACTGGGCAGAAATGGGGCTGGGGTGGCAGGAACTAGTGCCCAGCAGGCCCACGGTACTTTTCAGCCAAGAGGGTTGCTGTCTGAACCCTTCCAGAGCGGTGTCCAAGAAACGAGGGTAGATTCCAGGGCTGAACCCCAGCATGAAGTAGCAGAGAAACGACCTAAGAAGTGAGCTAATGGACAAGGACCCAGCAAACATCCCTGGCTCTGGACCCACAGAGGGCCAGGGGTCCCAGGTGACCTACAGGGACGGGGGCCAGCCTGAAGAGTGACTAGGGTTAAATTTCCAGGCACCCCACGGGGGAGCAGAATAAATCTGGATCACAGAAATAAAGGCATGGGGTGTTATATCCCAGAGTCATTAATAAAAATCATACCCATCACGTCTACTGTCGTCACTCCAGGGATCTTCCCCTTTCTATGTTATCTAGTTGATTTTGGGGACCCAAGTATATTACTTCATATTCATTCACGCTCAATTTTTCCTTTGACATATCAAAGCAGTCTCCTGATTTGTTGTCATTTTATAAACTCTTCCTCCAAGAGCTGCCTAATTCCAATCAGTGATAACAGGTCCTGAGCCCGGTCCGGCGGAGGGCGGGAGCACACTTGCTGGTCCCTTGCCCGCTGACATTGGCACGTTGATCAGCGAGCTCCCCCCACAGCTTGCTCAGTCCCTCAGAAATCATCTAACTAGACTGTTATCCATTCCACGTATCCCTGCTTTGTTCATAAGGCTGTACTGTCAAATGCCTAGCTGAAAGCCAAATGCACTCTATCTATTCCGTGCTCTCAATCTGTCAGCACAGTGACCCTCTCAAGGGAAAATAAACATGAAAGTAGGAAGGAAACAAGGTTAATTTGGCCTGACTGGCTCCTGGCAAATCCATGCTGGCCCTGAGTGGTTCCTACCATCTTTCCTAAGGGCTCCATCAAATCTGGTCAAATGCTACCCAAATTCATCACTAAAGAGCATGTACTCTGCCCCCCCTGAATGACCCAGTGCCCCTGTGCTGGTATCCTGAGATTTATGAATCAGAGTTCACAATCAGACAATAAGACAAGATGTAGGGGGAAAGCAAAGAGAAACTGGAAACTGGTTTTTGGTTTTTTATTAACAAGTCTAAAGAAAACTTTCATTGAATCAGGGATGTAATACAAATTGTAGTGACCTCCATATAAAACTTGGCACCAAGTTTGGCCTTTTAGAAACATTTATATAGATATATAAAAATGCATTAAAATCTGCACCAAAACACAACGCGGAGGCTGACACCCCAAAAGGAGTGTTTACAAAGAAAGGTGGATCTGGTCTGCGGACCAAGTTCTCGGTCCTGCCTATAACCTCAGGGCTGAGCCCTAGTGAAAATGGCCTGCTCTGAGGAGGGGCCCGAAGAGCCTGTCTCTGAAGGCAGGACCCCTGTGAGCACCAAAATGCCACAGGCCTGGCGTAAAACAAAAATGGTGCTGGGAAGAAGGGCCGTTTCCCTTGTTACTGGGCTCTGACCACTATTTGAGGAATCCAGATCTCTGCAAGACAAATCACCTTCAACTTCAGGGGAACTTTGGCAATTTCCAGATATGTGTTTTCCAAGTAAACTGACTAATCCCAACTCAAGAAGCCAAAACATATAATTAGCCTGATTTTAAGGATTAAGAACTAATTTCTATGTCGTTTTCTGCAGGTCAAGCCCCTGAAATCACTATCAGAATGGCTATCATCACAACAGAGAACTGTAACAATGATGGCCTCAGTCTATTTCAGTCTCAGACCAAATGCAACTGAGCAATTTTAGCCCAGAAATTATACTTCACAGGCAGTGAAATGAAAAGAACTTTGATCAACGTTGGAATGCACCTTCTAGGTGTAAACTACCTTTGCAAAAGGCAAATGAAGCCTCTGGGAGAAGCAGGGTCAGTACTGCACATCTGTCTTCAAAGAGGAAGACACAGTTCCTTCCCTAGCAGGCCTGTCATTCATCTGAACACGGTCAGGACTGTTGGTCTCTTAGTTTATTCCTTCATGGAGGGGCTGATGTCCCTGGTCTGCTCATCCTGTGGCTCTGTGCAAAGTGACAACTCTCCCGGGCTCAGCTGCTGAGCTGCTGCCCAGACACGCAGGCTCCCAGGATGGGAGACACACAAATGGGAACCTGAAAGAAATCGGGGGTGGGTGTCGGGGAGCATTAGGAAAGGCAGGGGGTGGGGGACAAAGAAGCCTCGCCGGTCTTGGGCAGCTGGCAAGGAGAGCAGTGCCTACAATCTCGGGGCTCCTAACAGTTACTGAAAGGCGGGAGTCCCTGCTGTCATTCCAGCAGACTCTACAAAGGGAAAACAGCCGCCCTGCCCGCTCCCGTCTTGCAGCAGAGTGGTTCTCTCGGCTGCCTCCAGCTTGTCTTGCTGCAGGGTGATCAAGAAGTAAAAGGAGCGATGGAGGACAAAAGCCTCTGAATCACGATTTCGGCAAATAGCCGGGAGCCAGTCAGGCTGTTAACGAGCGACTTTCTCAGGCTATGTGTATCAGGACCCAAATGCTCACAGGAAGAGACACGTGCTCTTGGCGTCACTGGAGCCTGACACCAATCATTACTATGGTCTTCAAGACCAAGATAACAGGAGGACACCTGGCCCAGTCACTATGGCTCTTTCAGGACTGCAGGCCAACCCAAGTGGCTCCTTCAGTCTTAGGGTCTTTCACTCCTTTAAAGTTACCTAACAACACCCTCTAGTGGAAATTATAAATAAAACAAGGGCCATGCAGCCAATTCACCTTCTGATACCAGTGGTTTCAAGATTCCTCATAAAACAGAACAACACATTATCTTTAAGAACTTAATAATCTTTAAAAGGTGGGAGTTCACAAGCCATCCTTAGGCCCTCCCTCTCAAATCACCTCCTCTCCTGAGATACTCTGCCCTCAACACAGTCTCAGGCAGGGGACAGATGATGGAAGAGCTGCCGGGCCCCTCAGAGTTTGGGCAGACTGCCGGCTGGCGCCAGAATGATGCCAAAGACGTAGAAAAGCCCGAGCAGGAGGTTGAGCTTGGCGGTCCTCTGGGGCAGTTTGCTGAAAGTCTGGCTTCGGAACTGTCGCTCAAGGGAAAAGGCCATGGGGATGGTGAGCAGGGGGAGTGCCAGGCTGATGCTGTAGTGTGTGGCCAGGATGCTGAAGATCAGGTAGGGCAGGAAGAGCAGCGTGGTGTAGAGCACGTAGGAGAAGGTGGGGCCGATGAGGATGGCGAGTGTGACGATGCCCGCCTCCTGGTCGGACTCCATGTCCCTGGTGTTGTTGGAATGGAGAATGGCCTCGGTGCTAAGGGCGAGAGGGATGGCGTAGACCAGGGGGAAGACGGCCAAGGACCCCACCTGGACAGCATAGGCGAACATCACGGCCAGTGGGCCGAAAGTGATGAGGATGACGAGGTCTCCCAGAGCCACGTACTTGAATCCAATTCCTACGGCCAGAAAACCCAGAGAGTTGGTGTGAGACCAAGGGCTGGAAATGGAGGGACTGTTTATCAATCTCACCGGCCCTCTGGCCGGGAACGGTCAATTCTCAGATGAAGAGAGCGGGTCATCACTGAGTTCCCGTCCCCTGCAGAGACCAGAGGTGCAGAGAGCACTGATCTTTAGCTCTCAGTGAGGTTTCAGTCACACCACATTTTTCCTTCCTACTGCCCTCCAACAAAGTCCTGCAACACGAGCAGTGTGTTCCCAGCACACACCGAGCGCAACGGAGAGCCCGGGATGATCTGTAAGTCTTACGATCCAGTTTTACCGTTTCTCTCACCCTTCACCAGCCCCTGCAGGACACCACTTCTGTCGCTGACACCATTAGGCCCTCGCAGAATATCCAGCCCAGCATCTTACTTTTCTGCCCCCTTCCTTCCTCTACCCCCGAGGCATCTTCTGGTTCTGAAAACCCCCAGCGAATCCCAGTCAAATTCCAGGGTTCCCAAACCCCACATGAACATGAACATACTTTCAGCTACCTCATGAGTAAAACAGCTAAGACAGTGCACAAAGTTGCTTCCCCTCTCTGGTTCCCACTTAGATAAAACGAAGTCATCCCTAACTCCTCCTGTACTGTCTAATGCATTTCTTTAAAACCTGCCTACTGAGTTGCAGCCAAAGTCTCCAATTCCCTCCTGCCTTGATACATGAAAGGAACCCTGAGAAGCAGGATGTTCCAGAACATTGCCCCAGGCATCCAGGTTGAATCACGCTGGGAGTGGAGACCCCCCTAGGTCTCCTTGCGGTTATACCTACGCAAGTAGCCAAATCACATTGTCCTCTCCCTCTAAGGGCTGCCAGCCCCACCCATACACCCCCTATATAACCCTGCCTGTTAGAGATACCAGCGCTGACCCCACCTTAGGAGTCAGCCTGGCAGGTAACTCCCCAATAAAGTTCACTTGCCTGAACCCAGGTGTGTTCCTCCTTCGACCGACCTTTCACTGCCCAGTTCTTTCCGACTCCAGTGGCACACTCTAGCCCACCCCACTCGATCCCCAAACCCAAGTCATGGTCATTTTATGTCTGGAACATTGCAACACCCCCTGTAATTAATCCCTTGACGTCTACTCTTATAACAAGCTCCCCCTCCCTTCCCTAATCTAATTTCCACACTGCAGCCAGAATCATCTTTTTAGGATACTAATCTGACCACACCCCGCCACCCAACACACACCTGAAAACCTTTACCAACAAGCTGTCCTCAGGATAAAATCCAGACCTTTCACAGGGCTCACCTGCAGCCCTGCCCCGGCTCTCCTGCGGCCCTGCCCCGGCTCTCCTGCGGCCCTGCCCCGGCTCTCCTGCCTCACCGAGAGCTCTCCTGCGGCCCTGCCCCGCTCTCCTGCGGCCCTGCCCCGGCTCTCCTGCGGCCCTGCCCCGGCTCTCCTGCGGCCCTGCCCCGGCTCCTCTCCTGCGGCCCTGCCCCGGCTCTCCTGCGGCCCTGCCCCGGCTCTCTGCCTCACCGAGAGCTCTCCTCCCAGCCCCTCGTACTTCTTTCAGCTCCTCAGGCCCGGAGAACCGTCCCCCACTTTGCCTGGCTAACTCCTACTCACCCTTCGAGACTGTCACGGCCACTCGGTCAGCCTTCCCTCACCCCATACCACATTCAGTTCCCTTGGAACACGTTCCATGGCACCCTGACTTCACCTTCATAAACTTCATTACACTACTTTTTTAAAAATGTTTTTATTGACATTTTTAAAGAGAGGAATGGAGAGATAGAAACATCCATGTGAGAGAGATACATCGATCAGCTGCCTCCTGCATGCCCCCTTCTAGGGATCAAGTCCGCAACCCGGGCATGTGTCCTGACCAGGAATCAAATCATGACCTCTCGGTCCATGGGACGATGCTCAATCTGCAGAGCCACACCGTTGGACTTCATAACACTTCATATTAATTAATCTCTGTCTTTCCCAACAAATGCTAAATTCTACAAAGGCAGGTCCTTGCTTGTCACAAAGGCTGACCTGAACACAGAGCTACAGTCACAAGCACCTGAAATTTGGGACCGTGGTCTGAACAAACATCCCACCTAGCAGAGTGAAGCAGCGCAGAACGAGTGAGAAGTGATCCACACATAGACGGCCACAGATCTCTGCAAGCTAGCAAGGCATGGCCTCCGCAACCAGAAGACTGCTGGTCATCAAGCATGGTGACCAGCCTAAAATGGTAAGGGACAATAGTCTGTAGAGGATCTGAAGCCACAGCAGTAGAAGAACATGCTTCAGCCCAAGACTGCGTCACACTAGTAGATGAGCTTCTTGGATTTTGGGGTTTTCCCACAGCTTTATTGCGATATAATTAACATATAACATTATGTAAGGGTAAGGTGTACAACCTGTTGACTTGATACACTTATATTGCAAAATGATTCCCACCACAGTGTAAGCTAACACCTCCATCTGTTGGGGTTCTTTGGTGCTAAAAGACCATCCTTGGTTCTTTACAATGAAGTGTACCCAGGAAAACGCATCCTAGGTATGGCCCCTTATACCCACCAACACACAGCAAGCTAATTCTGCACTCCCCATGCAGTGGTTGATACATAATTTGGTTGTCTGAGGACATGCCCTCCAGGAGGAAATTCTCAAGCAGAACATCAGCTCCAGTTCTACATTAGTCGATGCTTCTTGCAATAGCTCACATATTTAGAGGACTACAGTAATCCTCCCTTATCCTCATCCAAGACCCCCAGTGAATGCCTGAAACCACAGACAGTACTGAACTGTACATACATCTACCCTTCCTAGGGACAGGACTCTACAATTCCCTTCCATTTACCCAAGAAAAGTGAAAACAAATAAATATCCACAAAAAGACTTGAACATGAGTATTCAGGCATAAGAGCCAAAATATGGAAACAAACCAAATGTTGATGACCAGGAAAATGGATCAACAAATTGTGGTACGTCCACACGATGGCTACTACTCAGCAATACAGAGGAACTACTAATGAGCACACAACATGCGGAATCTCAAAACACCCATGCTGAGCAAAAGAAGCAGGCACAAGAATTCACACGATTCCATTTATATGACGTTCTAGACCAGGCAAAATGAATCTACACGAAAGAAATCAGAACACTGGTTGCCTCTGGAGAGGAATGGGAGAGGGAGATTGATGGAGTGGAAGTACAAGGAAACTTTTGAGGATGATGGGGATGTTCTGTATCGTGATTGGGTGTGGGTTATATACAGCTATATGCATGTGTCAAAATTCATCAAACTAGAACACTTGCGATCTGTGCACTTTACAGTGTAACTTTTATTACTATATAATTGACAGTGTTAAAAAAATCAGATTATGTTTTTACTCTGCTCAATACATTTTATTATCTATTTGTTCATTCAATGAATATTTTTTTTTTTATCCTCACCAGAGGACATTTTTCCATTTTTTGTTCAGATAGAGTGGGAGGGAGGGAGAGGAAGAGAGGGGGAGGGAGAGATAGAGAGAGAGAGAGAGAGAGAAACATCGACGTGAAAGGGACACATCGAGTGGCTGCCACCCACACGACCAACCAGAGCTGGGGACAAACTGCAACCGAGGTATGCGCCCCTAGTGGGAACCGAACCAGGGTCTCTCTGGACCGCAGGCCAACGCTCTAACCGCTGAGCCTAACCGGCCAGGGCCATACAATGAATATTAAGTACTGACTTCATGCCAAGCATAGTTCTAGGTACCATGGGTTCAACAAAGAACAGAGACTAAAATCCCTAACCCCAGGGAGTTGACAGTCTAAGGGGGAAGATAATTAACAAAGTTAGCACTTATGTTAACAGGCAGTATGTGCTGTGATGAAAAAGTAGAGAAGAGGGAAGGTTTGAGGGGGGCATGGGACATAGGGTATATGTGTTTGTGTGTAGTTTTATTTTTTTCTCAGCTGCTGCAAAAAGCTTTGTTTTGTCATTTTAAATAGGGCAGAAAGCAAGACCTCACTAAACAGCTGACAAATGGATAGAGCAGGCTACAAAGGGAATACAGAGAAGGGGGAAGAGCATTCCAGCTCCAGGAAACGGAATCTTCAAAGGCAGGCGCACCCCTGGTGTGTTCCAGCAGCAGCCGACAGGGCAGTGTGCTGGAACATGGGTAGGAAGAAAGAGGGCAAATCAGTGTTGAGGGGATTGCACAAGATGGGCAGATAATGGCCCCGGGATCATTGTAAAGACCTTGGCCCTTACTCTGAACAAGATGGGAACCACTGGAGAATTCTGAGCAGAGGATTGACGTAACTGCCTTATGGTTTTTGTTGTTGTGTTGTTTTAATCCTCACCTGAGGATATTTTTACATTTATCTTCAGACAGAGTGGGAGGGAAGGAAGGAGAGAGACAGAAAGCAACATGAGAGAGACACATTGACCCCACAGAACCGCAACCGGGCCGGGGACAAACTGCAACTGAGGTACGCCGAGGTATGGTGCCTTTGGCTGGAATCAAAACCGGAACTCTTTGGTCTGTGGGCCAACGCTCTAACCGCTAAGCCAAACCCGCCAGGGCTAATTGCCTTATATTTTAACAAGACTACTCTGGCTGCTGACTTGGCAGCACCCTGACAGGGAAAACGGGATACACAGAAATTAGTCAAGAACCGGTGGTAATACTCAGGGGAGGTAACGGTGACAGTGATGAAAGGTGGTGAGCAATGGTCAGATCCCAAATGCATTTTTTTCTTAATCCTCACCCGAGGACATTTTTCCATTTATTTGTTCAGATAGAGTGGGAGGGAGAGAGAGGAAGAGAGAGAAAGGGACATCAATGTGAAAGGGACACATCGAGTGGCTGCCACCTGCACGACCCAACCAGGGCTGGGGACAAACTATAACCGAGGTATAGGCCCTTAGTGGGAGCCGAACCAGGGTCTCTCAGGACCACAGGCCGACGCTTTAACCACTGAGCCAATCCAGCCAGGGCCCAAATACATTTTGAAAGTAGTCAATAAGGCCCGGTGTGGATCAGTGGTTGAGCACTGACCCTTGCACCAAGAGGTCACCGGTTCGATTCCTAGTCAGGGCACATGCCCAGGTTGTAGGCCCGATCCCCAGTGGGAGGTGGTGTGCAGGAGGCGGCCGGCCAATCAGTGTTCTCTCTCATCAGTGTTTCTCTCTCTCCCTTCTTCTCTCTCTAAAATCAATAAAGAAAAATATTTTTTATAAAAAGGAAGTAGTTGACAGAATTTGTGACAAACTGGATGCAAGATGTGAGAAAGAAGGGTTGGGATGATGTCTGTGATTTTTTTTTTTTTATCCTCACCAGAGGATATTTTATATTTAACTTCAGACAGAGTGGGAGGGGGAGAGAAGGCGAGAGCGAGAGCGAGAGCGAGAGCGACTGGTTGCCACCCGCACGACCTCAACCAGGGCTGAGGTCTAACCGAAACTAAGGTACGTGCCCTTGGCCGGAATCGAACCTGGGACTCTTTGGTCCACAGGCCAACGCTCTAACTGCTGAGCCAAACTGGTCAGGACATGCCTGTGATTTTTAGCCTGAAGAACTAAAAGGCTAAAGTTGCCATTTGAGTAAGAGGGGAAAGTTGTGCAACAAGAGGTTTCTTTGGGGAGATCAGGAATTTGATTTCAGACATGTTTAGCTGGAGATGCCAAGAGACCTTTAAAGGAAGTTACCGTCGTCCCTGGCCACTTTGCGCTTGGTCTTTCGCGGCTTCACTCTATCACGGTTTTTACCGCAATAGAGTGAAGCCGCGAAAGTCGAAGCACGAGTGGCGAGGGACGACTGTATATGGATAAAGAATCCCACTTTGCGGAAATTCATTTGTCCCGGTAGAATCTGGAATTGATTAACCGCGATAAATGAGGGCCAACTGTACTGAGTCCTGGCCGGTTTGGCTCAGCGGTTAGAGCGTTGGCCTGTGGACCAAACAGTCCCCGGTTCGATTCGGGCCAAGGGCACGTACCTCGGTTGCGGTTCATCCCCGGCCCTGGTTGGGGTCGTGCAGGTGGCAGCCAATCAATGTGTCTCTCTCACGTCTATGTTTCTCTCTCTTTCTCTCCCTTCCACTCTGTCTGAAGATAAATGTAAAAATTTCTTCGGGTGAGGATTAAAAAAAAAAGTTACTGAGTAAGAAGCTGAATATGAGTCTGAAGTTTCTTGGAGAGATCTGGACCAGAGGTATAAATTTGAGTCACCAGTTTAACAGGTAGCATCTGAAGCCATGTGAGTGGCTAAAATCACAAAAGAAAGAAATGGAGACAAAGGAAAGAGGTCTAAGGATTAAGCCTACAAACTGGGAATGAAGAGGAACCAGCACAGGAGACTGAGGCCCTAGAGACCAGCATGATCCAGCCCCTGCCTACCTCTCCAATGGTATCTCCATTCTCCCTCTTGAACACATTGACCTTGGGTAGATCCTAGAAGATGTTAAGCTCTCCCTCCCCTCTAGTGCATTTGCATTTGCTGTTCCTCTAGCCTTGAAGGATTCAGCACCTGAATCAGACCCCAATGCTGCCCCATGGGTGGCTCCTTACCTTTCAAGTGTTAGTTTAAGAGTCACCTTCATAAGGGCCTCTTTCCTCCACTACCACCTTAGACATTCTATTGGCTGCCAGGATATGAGTCTCTTGGTCTTTTTCTTTCTCCTCCAGGTGCTCTATCACAGTCCCCTTTACCTGCTCCTTCTCTTCTCCCCACCTCTTAATATTAAGAGTGCCTGGGGCTGTCCTGGTCACCCTCACATCTCCATCAACATTCTCTCCTCTGGTGGTCTCACCCAGTTGTACAAATTTATTTATGTGCCAATGATTCCCAAATATCTATATCTCTAGCTCAAACCTCTCCCCTAAACTCAAACTCTTTTTTTGGGGGGGAAAAAAACAAACATGTTTTCCCATTTCTATTTTTTTTTTTTTATCCTCACCCGAGGATATTTTTTTTCGATATTTTATTCAGATAGAGTGGGAGGGAGAGAGAGAGAGAGAGAAACATCGACGTGAAAGGGACACATCGAGTGGCTGCCACCCACACGACCAACCAGGGCCGGGGACAAACTGCAACCGAGGTACGTGCCCTTAGCGGGAACTGAACCCGGGTCTCTCCGGACCACAAGCCGACGCTCTAACCACTGAGCCCAACCAGCCAGGGCTAAACTCAGACTCTTATATCCAACTATCCGTTTGACACCTCCACTTGGAGATTTAATACATTAAGATGCTCAGTTATCTCCCCAAAAACCTATGTTCAACTTTTTCTCACTTGATATCAACTCCATTATTCGAGTTGCTAAGGCCAAAACCTCTGAGTTATGCTTAATTCTTCTGTTTCTCTCCTGCCTCACATCCCATCAGAAAACCCTGCCTACCTTTAAAATATATTTGAAATCCGACTACTACTCCCCTCTCTACCACTACCACCCTGATCCAAGCCATTGAACATCTCTTGCCTGGATTACTCAACAGCCCCCTCCTCCTCCATCTCCCAGCTTCTACCATTGCTCATTCCCCTTTATCCTTAGCCAGAGTGATTATTTTAAAACATTAAGGCCTACATAATCTTGGTGCCTCCATGACCTCCCCATACATACTTCTCTTACTTTACCTCCTTTCACTCTCTCCCTCATTCACACCCTAAATTCTGTGTTGTTCTTCAAACTTTTCAGAGACACTCCTGCCTTATGGCCTTTGGCAATTGCCCTCCCAAGATTTGGGACACTGTTGAGCCAATTCCCTCCTCACCTCTCACCTCCTTCAATCTTTGCTCACATGTTACCTTTTTTATGAGGCCTTCCCTGATCAAACTATTTAAAATAATCTGTTGTGTTCCTTGCTCTATTTACTATTTCTCTCCATAACACGAATCATCTTTTCATATACTATAATCAGGGTCCCAACTCATCCTAACTTACCATGAACTTTCCTGGTTTCAGTACCAAAGTCCCACATCCTGGGAACCCTCTCAGTCCTGAGCAAACCAGGACATTGGTCAACCTAACTATAATTTACTATTTTTACTTTCTGTCTCTCCTCACCATATATAAAATAACTTTCATGAGAGCAGAGATCTGTGACTGCTATGTTCACAGACAATAGTGCTGGCACACTGTCTCAATAAACAGGGCTTAGCCACCTGGCCATCACTTCCATAATCGGCCTGCTATAGCGAGTCACCCAGCAAACTAGCTGAAAATAATTAGCTGTAAAATTTTGAGCTCTTCCAAGTTAATTCCACTAAAATGTGAAATTGTGGCATTACAAGATATGACCAACAAAAAGAAATTAGATACCAAAAAAGTCCATATATATGTAAATGACTCATATGTATATGAGTCATTTACATATATATAAATATATTTGTCCATATATATGTATAATTTCTAACATCCGTAAGCCAAGCCAGGATCTTCTCAACCCACTACTGTTTTCAAAATAATCCACATGACCCACACATTCTAGATTTCACATAAGTGGCCTGACTGAAAAAGAACTTTTTTTTTATCCTCACCCCAGGACATTTTTGCATTTATCTTCAGATAGAGCGGGAAGGAGAGAGGGGGGGAGTGAGAGAGAAACATCGGCTGGCTGCCACCCACACAAGCCCATGGGGATGGGGACCAACTGCAACCGAGGTACGTGCCCTTAGGGAAACCCAACCCAGAACTCTCTGGTCTGCGGGGCCGACACTCTAACAGCTTAGCCAAACCAGCCAGAGCAGAAAAAAAAGAACTTTTGATACCACTCTTCTAGTCATAACTTCTGCACAAAGCAGCAGTTTCTAGTCCATGCAGCTATGATCTCCCGCAGGGTCATCAGGCCAATTCTTACCTCCTGTGTAGAGAAAGGAGCCAGACAGGCCTCCAAAGTAGATGAGAGCCAAGTGCTCCAGTTTCAGAGGGGACAGGTAGTAGAGGCAAGCGGCACAGACACAGCCTAAAGTGTAGAGGAAGACTCCAAACCAGACAACATCCTGGGGCTCCAAGATCCGGTCCACCAGGGTCCTGTCATCACTCTTTTTGTGGTCAATGCCTTTGGAAAAGTCATAGTAAGTGTTGACCAAATTGCCAGCCCCGTGCACAGCCAGGACTGCCACGGCACAACCCACCAACAGCCGGGGATCCAGGACGCCCTGGGATCTATAGGCCAGGGCGCTGCCCAGGGCCACCGGGGTGAGCGAGGCACTGAAGCTCCAGGGCCGCAGGGCCAGCACATAGGAGGCGCACTTCTGCCTCCAGGAGCGCGGGAGGGGCTTGTCCCACTCCACACAGTCGTTCTCCAGCAGGTCCCTGTCCCCATCCTTGGCCGTCTCTCCTGCCTGGATGTTAATCTTCTCTCCCCGGACCTGCTGCGAGGACGCCATGCTGCGTGCACGTGGCTGAAGTCAAAGTGAATAGTGAGCCTCCCACAAAACAGCAACAGCCTTGAGATGAGGAGGGACGGGAGGGAGCAGCTAGCCCTGACCTTCGGTCCCGCCCCGGGGCAGGGCTGGGGAGGCAGCAGGGCCCCGGGGCAGTAGCGAGTGGGCCAGGCACCCCACGAGGCCGGGTAGCACCGCTAGGGTTTCCTGTCACCTGGGCGAAGCCTGTCTCCGGACCTGGCCCAGCGCTAGAGCCCAAGGCCGAGAGGCGACCGCATCCCGGAGGCTACCGGGGACGCCATCTTGTGCGCCCGCCTCTGGAGGCCGGCAGGAAACAGGGGCTGACCCACCAGCGGGCCGGGCTGGGGGCTGGGGGCGGGGCCGACTGGGGCAGGGCGGGGCAGGGCGGTGACCCCGAAGGTCCCGCCTTTCCCTCCCCGGAGGCCCGCGTTCCTCCGCTGCTCAGACTCGCTAGGTACAGCCTCGCTTAGCCTCACGGGCGAGTGCCAAGAGCTTTCCTTCATCGAAATAGGACGCATTCGTTTTTTTCATGTAGTGTGCTACAGGCATTTATTGAGCACTACTGCACGCAGCAGTTAACAAAATGGACACTCTGAGGGAGATAAAAAAAGGTATGATTATCCCTCCCCTCCAAAAAAACGAGACACTTGAAGCTCTAAATGGGAAATGATGTCTAAGAAATTATGAACTCTAATAATAATAATCACAACAGCAAAAATTCCCCCTGTCTGTTGTGCAATTACCAGTACCATATACTGCTCCTGCCTGCCTTTTAATCCATATTTTAGCTTATTTACTGTTCATATCACACAAATAACTGCCCTTCCCATCCTTCCGGGTGGCCAGCTCTGTGTCCTCATTGCTGGCCCACATTGCCCACCTTCTGGGAGCTTCTGGAGCTCCTTCTGACTGGGGAGAGTCAGTTGTTAAATTTTGGGGAATTCTGTGAGCCGACAATAAGCATATCCATTATTAATGTTTAAAAACTGATTTTAGAGAGAGGAAGAGAGAGAGAAACAGATTTCTTGTTCCACTTAGGCATTCATTGGTTGATTCTTTTTTTAATCCTCACCCAAGGATATTTTTCCATTGATTGTTTTAGATAGAGTGGAAGGGCGGGAGGAGACAAGAGAAACATCAATGTGAGAGAGACACATGGATTGGATGCCTCTTGCATGACTTCGATGGGGCCAGGGATGGAACCTGCAACCCAGGTACATGCCCTTGACTGGGAATCAAACCCTTCAGTCCTCTGGCCAACGCTGTAACTGCTGAGCCAAACCAGCCAGGGCCATTGGTTGATTCTTGAATGTGCCCTGACTGGGGATTGAACCTGCAACATCCATTATTAAAATACTCAAACTTACAATTAGGTAAATTATATTTAAAAAAAGTAACATATTCAAAACTCATTACTTGCTAATTACTACATTTTACCATTTATGCTCTTTGGGTTGTTCACATTTGTTGTATCTGCATTATGGAAATACTATATAACAATGTGCTACTAATCATCTCTCCCGCTTTTCATTCAGTGACATCCATTGGTAGCTTGAAGTCTGCCATAGTGGGAGTATTTAATCCATGAAAATAAGCAAATGCTTGATAATTTTGTTGGTCATCTAGATTTAAGTGACTGAAAAGAGTTTATCATGCAGATTAAAAGTCTGTCAACTCTGTAGCCTTTACATTGGAAATAGCAGCAAAAATTTGAGGAAATATTCATACAGTATTGGAAAATTATTATCCAAATCAGCAAAGAAGCCTTCCCGTCATTGAAAAACTAGTGAAATTTCAAGATATCTCTTGATTGTTTCACCTTCTTACTTGTTAACATAAAAGAAAATATCAACCAAAATTCATGTTGGAGCTCTACTCATTGGTCAGTTGTAAGCATAGGGAGGCTACACAATATCAAAAGAAGTGTACTGTTAGAATCAATTGACTATGTGGAATTTACAAATGCCCAGCTGGTGTGACTTTGTTGAGCATTGACCCATGAACCAAGAGGCCGCCGGTTTGATTCTCAGTCAGGGCACATACCCAGGTTCTGGGCCTGATCCCCAGTGGGGGGCATGCAGGAGGTAGCTAATCGATGTTCTCTCTCATTTATGTTTCCATCTCTCTCTCTCCCTCTTTCTTTCTCTCTAAAAAGCAATAAAGGCAAAATATTTTTTTTAAAAGTATTGTGTATTTCATTATTTGTAAGTTGTATGCTGTACATCCTTTGTATCAGTGAAAGTTATACTACAAATATAATATATATGTATACAGGACTAACTACATCATTTTGGTACCCTATGTAAAATAAAAATGTGGGGCCCCTTCTTTAAAAATAATTAAGAATTTCAAGACAGAGCATTTCAACCTCACAGGTCACAACAGCCACAAAGCCAGCCCTGTATAGACACACATGGCCCCCTCCCTTACCAGCTAGCTGGTTAAATAGCAACTTTAGTACCCAACAGGTACTTGCAATGCTGGCTAAACCCAAGTATCCTATACTGCCAAATGGGACAAGAGGAAGAAGCAGATGTTTTTAACTCCTCACTTGCCAACATTATGACCCATTCCTTCTGTAGGTCATTTTGCTCATGGATAAAGTGTAACATGGGAACAATATAACCTGCCTTGCAGAAATGTTCAGAAATAACAGTAACAACATTTATTGACTCTGCATGTGTCATGTAGTGTTTTAGGTACTTTACATGTATTAGCATTTAACTCCTCCACAGTGCCTAGCAAAGTAGTGTGGACCCCGAGGAAAAAAGATACCGACTAAGAAAGGCTCCTGGTGGCTATTGGGCTCAAATTTCATAAAAAAAAAAAATCAGAACCTAACAGCTATTTCTAAACTGAGTATCTTATGCAAACTACATTTCAGGGAAAAGCCTGCACGAAGCTGCCTGTCTTGGAAACTGAACTGCCTGCCAGGTACTCCGGCCACTTGAGCCAACCTTTATAAAGAAGTTCCTGGCATCTGATTTCAAACAACAGGATTGAGGTTTTCCCTGTTCAATCCTAGCTACACAGTTATATCCCCCCAGTAATATCTTCACTGACCAATCAGAATAGCTTCATTCCGACCAATCAAGACAATGCCTTTTAGACCGATCAAACTACGATGATTTGGAATCCTGTCTATGTAAGTCAGCTCTCCTTTGGCTATAGAACCGCGCTTTCCTCTGAAGACTGTTTCCTTGGCTGGAGGGAAAATACTGAAGATGTTTCATAACTGAGCTGTAACACTATTGAACTGTTCCACAGCAGTACTATAGGCCTTGAATTGGCTCCAACAACCATCCGACAATAGATATATAGATACTAAGTACTTCCTCATATGGTAAGTATTTCCTCATATGGAGCCAAGTTTCAGATTCAGTTAGTTTGACTCCACCCTGCTTTTAACCACTATTTTATAACGTCCACCAAAATGCCTGATACTCAATAAATACTAGTTATTATTTTAACATAATGGATAAAAAAGTTGTTTGTAAATTTGAAAAAGAGACCTACAAATGCACTGGTTACTGTAGCTATAAAACCATCTTTGACCCCTGGCCGGTTTGGCTCAGCTGTTGGAACATTGGCCTGCGGACCAGAGAGTCCCGGGTTCAGTTCTTGCTAGGGGCACATACCAAAAAAAAAACTTTGATAATTAGAAAATAGTGTTATTGTCCTGGCTGGTTTGGCTCAGCAGTTATAGAACGTTGGCCTGTGGACCAGAGAGGCCTGGGTTTGGGTCCCACTAAGGCAGGGGTTCTCAACCTGTGGGTAGCAACCCCTTTGGGGGTTGAACAACCCTTTCACAGGGGTCACCTAAGACGTAACAGTAGCAAAATTACAGTTATGAAGTAGCAACAAACATAATTTTATGGTTGGGGAGTCACCACAACATGGGAACTGTATTAAAGGGTCGCAGCATTAGGAAGGTTGAGAACCACTGTGCTCAGGGCAGGTACCTCAGCTGCAGTTTGTCCCTAGGCCCAGTTGGGGTCATGTGGGTGGCAACCATTCGATGTGTGTCTCTCTCACGTCGATGTTTCTCTCTCTCTCTTCTTCCCTCTCTCCCTCCCACTCTTATCTGAAAATAAATGCAAAAAAAGAAAATAGCGTTATCATGTCTTAGGGTGGCAAAATCTCATTGCTGGTGTAAATGAAAACTGGTACCTCCCTCATAGAGTTCAATTTGACAATATCCATCAAACTACACATTCATTTACGCTCTGACCCTGTAATCCCATTTTGGGTATTTGGTATAGTGCTAGGGAATAAAATTACGTATTTACAAAGAAATTCATTGTAACATCATTAGTAATAACAAGAAATTGTTAACAGAAGGGTCCATCAACAGAGGACTGGAAAATTAATGATGGTACATGCATGTGATGCAATATTATGCAGTTATAACAACCGAGGAATAAGGAAGCTTTCTATATACTAAGATAGAAAGATCTCCAATATATACTAAATTCTTTAAGAGTACAGATCAGTGATATGGAACAACAAAATGGAAAAAGAAGAGTATGTATTTGCTTTTATATTTGCTTGTATTTATATAAAGAAATTCTAGGGCTATATAAGAACTAAGAAAATAAGTGAAGGGACAGGGTGGAGCAAGACTTTGTGATAAATACAATTTTATTTTGACATTTGAACAGTGAATGTATTACATATTCAAAAATGTTCAATGATTAAATAGAAAGATGTCGAACACAAGTGGAAAATGTGAAATTCAGAAGAACAATTATTTCACAGAAGAATCAATGCAATGAAGAGATTCTAAACTTAAAGCAGTACTCATAATTTTTTTCACTCGGCCAAAGCATTTTAGTAGGCACAGAATATTACCAAACCTCTTTAATTTGGCAGTTTAACACTTTTGGAAACTTCCATTTCTTCAAAAAATCAAAAACAAAACTTTGTTTTATTACACAAGTAATTGATGGTAATGTATAAAGAAAAACAGTATGCCTTCCCCAAATTCCATTACATTTTAGTTGTATATTTTCCCCATGGTAACACAGACACATAAGAAATACATAAATGTTTTTTAAGGGTTGTACTATACTTATGTTGTTGTATACTTTATATTTTTTTAAACAAATTACAAACCCTTTTCCTGCTTAGCATTACCATTAATGGAAACATGTTTTCCATAATATAAATGTGTCATATTTTTTTTTTATCCTCATCCGAGGACATTTTTCCATTTTTTGTACAGACAGAGTGGGAGGGA